TTGTCGAACGGACAGGCACGAGCCAGTGGTCTGACGTGAGTGGGCATAAGCCGGCTTATACAAAGGTAAGGCACTACCTGTTGAATCTATTTCCAAAGTGTGCCAAATTGGACATGATTAAATTAAAGTCTACTCACTGAAGTTACTGGAGAAGGCCTGTTTTGATTTTGATGAAAAAATCTCATGAGTTTAATGCAGTTAGAGGCTCAAGTAGTTTGGTAGGGAATTGGTCATGTTGTGAGTTAGAGGCTCCATTGATCACTAGGTTGCACCTGCCTCAGTCACACTCTTGTTTCGAGGAGTTGACTGCTGTTTCAAAGTGTTATAAATTATTATAGGACGGCAGTTAGAGGCTGCTAAGAAGCGCAGTGCTCAGAGGTAACGCTTGCCAAGGTCGGGGACGTCTAGGCCTTGTCCTCTTTGAGGGATAGTCAGTTGGTCACTGTGGAGCTTGGGGCACTCCAGAATAACTAGTGGTTGCACCACTTTACCGTTTGGAACGGTATCTGCGCTTTTTTGGACACTGTTAAATTGAGTTAGGGACTTTAGGGATTAGGCCAGATACAGTTAGAGGCTGATACTGGTTAATTGATCACAAAAAAGTTGGACTTTCTTCGGTTGGACCCGTTAACTTAAATTTGTCAACAACTAAAACTATAACTGAAACTAAGGATTTTCAGAAAATAAAAACTAGACTAAACTAGCAAACAATTGGTAAAAACTAATTACAACTGATATAAAATTGAAAATCTGAAGTCGAAGCTGAATAAAAATACAAACTAATGAAAATTGCAAAACTATTAAAACCCTGGTGCAGAGATTGTCAAATCTGACCAGGAAATGTTATAAAATGGATTGTCGGAACAGTCAGCGTTAAAGGCACCTTTGACAGTCCAGACTAAGATGTCCGACGCCATGTTGGACATCTTCAGGGCGGAAAAGGGTTGGTGTGACCAACGTGTGGTTTGGCTTGTTGTATGTATATTTCGAGATGATATGGCTCTGGATGGACCAGTTACCAGGGCATGGAAGGAGGACAGACTCATTAAATGAGGAGAAGGAATTTTCTGGGATTGGAGATCCTCTGGGTGAGTGGTTGACTAAAAGCATGCATAAAATAAAAGCTATTTTTTGTTATTGATTGGTAATAGATTGATAATTGGCCACATTTACAGCTGTATTGACTTGTTGTGGATGTAGTCTACTTCATGTTTAAGCACTCTAATTAACAGATTGAAAATAGTGACATTAAAGGAAGAATATGCAGCGCCACCCTGTCAGACGCCAGTGACGGTGGGGCTCAGTGATGAATCAGGTGAGCTGCATTCATGGCTGAATCAAAACATAGATTCCCCTGCTATGGTCAGTGAGGGGAAAACAGGGGGAAATAAAAGTAAAAGAGGCATGGATAAACGTTTATGTGTCAAGTTTATAAACGGGATAAAAAGGGGGTGTTTTACTGTTATTTTAGCATCAGCATTATTGTTACATCAGAATCATATAACAAGCATTGCATTGATCATTTATTGAAGCTTTTGACATTACATTAACATTTGTATTACGGTGATTGTTATAACCTCAGGTTAATCTTCTATTTACAGGTGTCTGGATAATCATATGATCTTTCATTGCAGGTGTAACCATGATCATTTTTATACATATTTCAGTTTGTTGCTCATTATAGAGTTGTGCTCAAGTTAATAAGGGTTAAAGGCTACGGTCAACGCGATGTTTGGCTGATCTATGGACTGGAGTGACTTTGGGCATGGAAGGCCGCACGCGCTTACATAACACTGATATCATGCTATTCTTTGTGATCTTTTATTCAGTTATGTCTTTTGCTAACTTAAGTAGTGGCAGTTGATTAAACAACATTCATTTAATATTTCATACTTGATTCAGAGCATTACACACAGATCAACTTAACAATCTGCAAAACCTTGTAGCTGCAATGTTGTGTCTCCATAAGGGACAGTTGGCTCCAGGAGATAAGTGGGAGTCAGTGCCTGTCCTCGAGAAGGAGAGCATGTTCCTTTGCTGTGTCAACAAGTTCATATTCAAGTGAAGTTCATATTAATACAGGTTTTGTTTCTTGGCAATTCTGTGGACGCAGGCTCTGGGCGGAGCCAGGAGTTGAACAGATCTAACATGACAATTAAATTGATTTCATTCCCTGGCACAGGATGACAGGACTGGAGCAATGACACTGGATAGGAGAAGGTCTCATACTTTCTAAGATATGAGGTCACTAACCTTTTCTTTTAATTTTCTAGCTCCGTTGATTTGACACATGGGAATGTGTCAAAAAAGGGGGGGGAAGTTGAGTTTTAACATCAAACAAGGATTATATGAACATTTTTATGACTTCATTTGTGTTTTTAATAACTTAGGTATGGTAAAACATAGGCTAGTAATGTCCCAAAAGGTTTCCGGACTTTTTTAGAGAATCAGTGAGAAGCATAAATCATTATTTCCATGTTTAAGCATTAATTATTGAAATGAACTGAATAGCGTTTAGAAGATAAAATGCCTGTGTTCATGAGAAGCTGACTACCACACTGGAGAGGAAACTGTGGGACGGTAGGCGGAAGCAAACACATGATTTTTGGGGAGCAAATGTTAGGATTAAAAATGGCTAATTTGTTTTTGATGTCTTTTGTTAAAATTAGTGGTTTTAATAATTTTCAGACACACCTTGCAAATGTGCTTATAATGAGTTGGCACTCGGTCATTTGAAGGTCATAAGCTTCGTTCGGCGTGATGGTCCGGACTGATAAAGTGTAGGAAATGCCTTGAGTGCAGAGGGCTAAATGCAAACACGCTTACACACACATAGGATATGATTAGAATAAGTCCCTGGGACATTCTGAATATTTTAAACCAATTCTGAATCACCAGAAGATCAGTAGATAACAACATTAGATTATTAGAGCTAGGAAGAGAGGTGTTTTGGTTTTCTGTCTCTTACAGAGAAAGGAACAGACACCAGACGAGGTCACAGATATACGGGGATCCTTCGCAGCAGAGACAGACACGGTGACTGCCGAGACACCAACTGGGTCCAAGTGTCATGGCGTTTGGGCTCCGATTAGTCACCTCAAAAGGATGGATCCCATAAACACAGCAATAACCATGAAGGGGTTGGCGGAAATCCAGGAACACCAGACCAACGAGGTTCGAGAGGCTCTTGGGCAAAGGGGGACACGTTCCTGTTCCTTTTTCTGGGGGATACACAGGACACAGAGGACCCGAGGACACACAGATTGTTGTTTGAAATCGGGGCAGAATAATCCCCTGATCTGTGCAACGACTGAAGGGTTGTCTAACCCCTGAGGTTGAAGAAAGAAGAGCAGAGGATCACCCAACTGGAAGGCACTGGTAGCTGCAGCAATAAAATAAAGGCTAAAAGCTCCTTGGACAGAGGTTCTAGTCTGAGTACATCTGAAGGGTATACGGTAGCACCAAAATAATACTGTGGGAGGACTGGGGAGTGTCATCTGTACCTGCTATTGTTGTAATAATAGTTTTTCCTTTCATCTGAACTGCGCAAACACAGAGGTCATCTCACATATGGTTCGCCCAACAGGGGGACAAAGGGCCTCAGGAGTGAGAAGAAATGAACCCGGCCACACTGGATTACAGGGTGTAGGTGAGCTCTTTATTCTAAAGAGCTCATCAGGGGGAGTGTGGGATTATAATATTATTTTATGCCATGTTAGACCCCTAATTAAAGTTTGTGAATTATTATGTAGTTTTAGTTTGCATTATTCTCCTGAATTAGAAGAAGGTGGTAACTATTGCATTTGTTAAACTGATTTGCATTACATTAGACTGCTGATTTATTGTGAATGAATGATATTGTTTTATGATGCATTATACTGCTGAGTTATAAGAAATACTGTTCGCAGAAAGTCATCGCCTTATTTGTCTGATTAGAAGAGAATAGAACATAGTGGAGTTTTCTGCCCCATCTCAGCAGGAGCAGATAAACAGGGAGCCATGGTTGTAGCTTAGGCGCTGTGTGAGAGAAAGCATGTGAATATTTAGGCTTTTATGATAAGGTGGGGGCCATTAGAGGCTATAAGAGTTTGATCAATGCTCCACCATTTTGAGATCTGATGCTGTCTGGGTACGGTGTCCATCTCCCACGCGTGTGATCATTAAAATCATCATTTGACTCAACCCGGCCGGACCAGTGTTGTTATTGTGGTTTTTCCTCTTGTATCCATCCCCAATATTTGAATCCGTAACAGTTAACACAGTGAGGCCATTGTAATGGGAGACGTTAAACAGATAGTGGGATTCCTTCTGCTTATCAACGTGTAAGAGTTTGTGGAATGTTCTTTGTCTGTGTCCCTGTATATAAGATGTAAGGGCGGTGGCCACAATTCAGAGATGGTCCTAGTGTTTCACTGGGGTGCTCTCTACACATTGCGATGTGTTTATTAAACCCACTTCAAATCAAGCTCGCTGGATGTGTTGCAGGTTATTGTTAAATTTTCCACAACCGTTTGTTGCAACAAACGGTCTAGGGCCTTATCAAACAGTCCATGGACTCTCTTAGAAAAAGAAAAAAATATAGGGGGGCAGGGGGCGGGCTATAATCAGATGCTACAAATGTCGAAAAATGCCATTAAAATGACCAGTGATTTTATGATGCAAGAGTTATTTTGAGCACACATTAACTCAGGTGTGCATTGTTATGTTGGCTTGCCCTTTGGCATAGAAGCTTTTGAAAATAAATGATGTAGACAACCCTGTCTCACAGTAAATATAAATGCTTGTTCTGTTGACAAATTTGAACTTTGGTTGTAGTAAAAAAAACAAAAAAACAAAACTAAAACCAACCCCCCCCCCAAACCAAACAAACGTCGAGAGACACACAATTTCAACACATGGCACATTTTCTAAACTTATTAGTATTTTATGCATCAGATTTTTGCTCATGTTTCATATTCTTTCGTCTATAAGTCACCTTAAGTACAAATGACTCCTCTTACCCGAATATGGTTGTGTAGCGGAACCGAAGTGCGGAGAAGTTTGTTGTAAAATGCGCATTTCGTGTTTTTCACCAGGTGGAGGCAATAACGGTTTCCAGAATCTGTGCGCAGGCGCAGTGGCACATCACACAACCGCAATAAGCAAATATGGCGGCGGCCGTCGACAGTGTTGTTAAAGTGTAAGTTTACCTTTATTTATTGTGAGAGTTAAACTAGCAGCCGCACAGAGGCGCTTTTTTAGTTAATTATTCATCGTTTCAAAGGCAGGGCGCAGAAAAATTGCACATCGCATCTTCAGTATTGAATACGATAATTGTCCCAAGAGGATAACGTTATCCTCCGTGCTACTGTTAGCTTGTTAGCTTTGGGGAAACATAAGGGAATCAACCCTGCTATGGAGCTGCATTTCAGCCTCAGTTTAAGCCTAATTCAGCAAGTCTTAATTGTACTTAAAGTGGTTTTACGTGTAAAAGCTTTAAACTGTTTGTAGCCAGTCGCACGCAGATGAAAGAGGGTTAATTTTCCTTTAACCTGTCAGGTTGGCGGGCGCTTTGTTGTGACGAGAGTCGCTAACAATCAACCTTTTGTTCTGACACCCTCCACCGTTACTGATAATGCTGAGTGCTCAAATGAAACTAGGCTTGGTTTGGTGTCGCCCGTAAGTAAATAATTAAATACATTGACCCCAGACAGAAAATATCATCGTTTTACTGTTGTGATTCAACATAATTAATAGTGGATTTATGAGGAGAGCAGTAACCCTTAATTATTCATTTTAGATACATCGACATTGACTACTGTTAAAATAGTTAAATTGTGATGTAATTGCAAAGCAGTAGAAGAGACGTTTGTGGTGAAATATGCGAGCAAAGTCGCAGTAGGTTGTTCGGTAGTGCCGTTTGCAGTAATTTCACAGCTCCTTTGTTGTGCAGCTCAAGCAAGGCCGGTTTGTGTGATAGCACAGTCATGTATCAGCTGCATGTCATTCAAAAAAGACTGTTTTAAAGTGAAAATAAGCTTTTATGTGTCTTAATTCACTTTATCTCGACTCTTTACAGAGCATAGTCATGCTGTTAAACCCAGCTAAAATTTGCTTGGCAGATAAGTAACAAAAATAGCAGCTGAAAAAAAGGTTTAGTACTAGAGAAGCACTGATTGCAATTTTCTTGGCTGATTTTTCCCTTAACTGCGACCTGCCAATACCATTTCCTTTTTTTTCTAAGAACTATAACTCAGGATATATTAATCAAACTGAACCTTTTTTTCAATGCAAATTATTTTCATAATAAAGAGATGATTAAACTTGAAAATGTCCCCCAGGTTGAAGTTAATTAGAGGATTTTCTCTCACTTAAATTACTGAAAATAAAATGCTCTGCTGTGTGTTGTTTGCAGTATGTTAATAACGTAACCAGATAACTCTTATATCTTTTTCACTTGCTTGCATAATTTTTCACATAACTGCATTGATCTTTTGCTCATACTGAGGCTGCTAGCTTGTGCCTGGCTCTGAGCTCTGGATAGTTTTAGCTAGAGATACACCCATTGACTGTGCAGGGATATCTGAGCTAAAGCAAGCCAAGGAGGGAAACCACGAAAGCATTTGTGACAACAAATGTAATGAGACAGTTAAACATAGACATTTTAAGGACTGCTGGTGCTGCTGATACATTTTTACTTATCTCTTCAGTGTTGATTATTAATAGTCTGTTCTGATTTGTGTTATTTGACCTGTTAGTGTCCAACTTCCACTTTTCAGGCTTGGAGAGCAGTATTACAGAGATGCCATGGAGCAGTGTCATAATTATAATGCTCGTCTGTGTGCCGAGCGCAGCATCCTTATGCCTTTCCTGGACTCTCAGACTGGTGTAGCCCAGTCAAACTGTTACATCTGGATGGAGAAGAGACACCGAAGTGCAGGTATCGAAGTAGTGTTGGATGATTTCTTTAAGTATTTGTAGGTTCTCAGTCATCTAGGTCATAGTAATCCAAGGAGCTTGGAAAGCAAAGCGACTGGACGACCTTACGTTTCTTGAAGACATTTCACCTCTTATCCGAGAAGCTTCTGAAGAACCAAAGAACTGAAGAAGCTTCTTGGATTAGAGGTTGATGAAGTCCAGTCGCTTTTCTTTCCAAGCTCCTTAGATGATCTCTGTAACTGATATACAGGGTGTAGCATGTCATCTCACTAAAATATACTTCAGCTTTTGGTGTTTCTCTGTCACATCAGGCGTAGCTCCAGGGCAGCTCTACACCTACCCAGCCCGTCGCTGGAGAAAGAAACGGCGTTCTCATCCCCCTGAGGATCCCCGTCTGGCCTTTCCCCCAATCAAACCAGGTACCACCTCTGATGAAACAACTTTTCCATTTAAATAAACATTCCATAAGTTTAATTATTTTCTTTTTTTTTCTTTCTTCTATACACTGGTTTATCTGTTACACTTGTAGTGGTTGTATGCATTTTTGTTCTGCTTTGTTTGTGTAGCAGACTTGGAGCTGGGTCTGAAGCGCGATGCCTTGGGAGCAGTGGATGGCAGCAGTTTGGAGGCCCTGCTGAAAGGAGAGCCCCTTGACAGGAGGAGCGGTGTGGCAGATGTTCGAGGCCCTGAGGATGATCCGGCTACCGTGGAGCCTCCTGTGACATCAACGACCACCACATCCTCTGGGCGCATCCGTAAGGTCAGACCCAAAGCTGACTCGATGCTGATGCTTTTTGTCAAAAATGGCACAAATGATTTTTTTTTTTTTTAACAAGCAGAAGCAATTAGACTGTTATTTTTATGGTAGAGAGTGCTGGACCATGATGACTACCTGGATGATCTGGATGACGAAGACTTTGAGGATGAGACCCCCAAGAGGCGAGGGAAGAGCAAGTCCAAGGTTAGTGTTCTGCTTCTTCACTGATGGATTGCCAACTGTGAGTCTAAACTGATATGTTTAAAATATTAACTTGGCCGACATTTGATGTTACATCTTTCTGACAGGAAATAAAGAAATCTTTACAATAACAAAAAGAAAAACGTGACCAGATGAGCTGCTGATAATTCAAGTCATCCTTTGTCTTATTTGCAGTCAGCGTAATGTGTTTTCAATGTTGTCATTTTTAATAATACAGTTAATTTGATTAATCAGCTCATCATTTGTCTTACATAATTAAAACAGTGATAGTTGATAGATAACTGAATTAAAACAACTTACAACAACAGTGCTTACAGTTACTACTTAAGTTGCAATGCTTATAGTTCTCAATCTAACGTTTTTCTTAAACGCACTTCTTTTCCATGGATATTGTTTGATCTCTTCAGAGATACAATATGAAACATCACTGGCTTCTTTAGTCTGATTGACTGACACTGTTCTGTCATTCAGACACAGATACGGTTGGCCATTGTGCTTTTGATACATGAAGCTGACACTCTTATCGAAAGGCATATTTATCTGAAAGGGGCTTTTCTTGTTCAGCTGGTTCTCCTGTGTCAGAGTTTATTTTTGTAATTTTGATTTCTCCAGTGAACCAATTTCACAAAATGTTCAATTCATTTTCATTTCTCAAAACATTTTGATCTGTACCAATTGTCAGAAATGCACTTACTTCTCATTGTTTTTCAAAACCGTTAAAGGTGATGTATGCAAAGTAAGTTGTGTTGTTTAAGTTGGTCTGTTTGTTGGTCTCAACTGTGCAATTTGTTGTTCAGGGCCGCAGTGACAAGAATGGCAAGAAGAAAACGGAGGCCGCAGCTGCAGCGCTGGAGGAAAGGGATAAACCTTACGCCTGCGACAGTGAGTATTAGCTTTCTGTGTAACGTGTTTGTGTGCGCCATGCATGTCAGCAAGAGAGGCTTTTGCTTTTCCCCTCTTAAAAGACAAAGATGAGCCTTGTTCCATGCATGGAGTCATCTGAAAGATCCCACCTGGAACTAAAGTTTGACGACGCAGAAGTTGAAAAAGTTGCTTGCCTGGATGCGTTGTCTTTTTTTTCTTTTCTCTCTCTTATCCCTGAGATACTGCTTCGTGTGCTCTGTAACTTCCTGTTGGCCCCAGCTCACTGTGCAAATGCTCTCCTTCGCTGTATGAGTCTGCTACTAGCGTGTCCGTCAACAATTAATCATATGAAATGAAGTTAGTTTTTTTTAATGTTTTTACTTGGTTTTGAGGTGGTGAAAGGTGCACGCCCACCTTGTTTCCAACTTGGGCCTTTTTGGACGGTAGTTAAAATTCGCTGCCACAACTATAACACTTTTGTATGAACGTGTGTGTGTGTGTCAGTTTGTGGGAAGCGCTACAAGAACCGTCCTGGCCTGAGCTACCACTATACACACTCTCACCTGGCAGAGGAGGAGGGCGAGGACCGCGAGGAGATCGAGGCACCACCCACTCCTCGCCAGCCTGAGGAGCAGAAGAGTGAGTCACTCTCTAGTGCTGAGAGAGAGAGAGATGGAGAGAAAGAGGGGAGGGAGGTTTGGTTGCATGCTGTGTAGCATGTGTGTGTTTGTTCAAGGGAAGTCTCTCTCTCATTCTTTTTTTTTTTAATTTTTCTTGCTCTTTTCATTTTTTGATTTTCATTATTTCAGATCCCAAATTTGGAGGCATTCCTGATTGAAACATGCTTGCACAGTTGGGACTTTTGGCTCCCCCCCCCCCCCCCCCCCCCTTTTTTTTTTTTTTTTAAAAAGCATATCATCCATATTTATTTTTTCCTTTGTCTGCTGTTTTTAAACCCCCAAACATATCCATGGTCTTGCTTTTAAAAAAAAAAAAAAAATTCCTTTGTGCACGCGAAATCGTGTTATCATATACATAAAAAGAAGTGCGTTTTGTGAGTTGTCACTCATACTTAAGTTTCAATCATAATTCAATGCATCATCATTATGAATGTTATTTTTGGAAGGCCTGCTACAAACAGGTTTGTACTTGGAAAATGTGGAACTTTCATTTTTAAGCTGTATATGCTGATCTGCTTACCTGGGAGAAGAGCGCAGTGTTCTCTTTCCTTCATACGTTCAGATTCTTATAGTTTCTTCACTTATTTCCTGCACAGCTACTAAGAAGGGTCCCAATGGGCTGGCACTGCCCAACGATTAC